GGGTCATTTCAATTGAAAACTTAACCAAACAAAAACAACAAATAGATTTTTGAAGCACATTCAAAAATTGGACTGTCAATCAGCCCCCACTTATATTAATGATATTATTTGGGTGATCAATTAGGCATTTGGTCGAATACTTGGGGTTAAAATCATATTTGCTTTCCTAGATATTAAATTAACTATTTGATAGTTTAATTCCAACCCTAAAAAAATAATGAGTTCGGACTATTATTCACAAATAATGTAATATTAACCCTCATTAATTAATTTAGTAGTTCAAAAAGACTCAGATAAATTTTAATGAATTTAAAGGAAATGAGTTCAAACTGTGGTGCCCATGTACCTAGTTAGGAATTAATATCTTATGAGTTATCTGAGATTAGTCCAAATGCGTGCAAGTTGGTTTGGACACTCACTGATTTAAAAGAAAAATTGTCATGTATTGACTTATTATAAAATGTTTGCATAACGAGTACCAAGCTCTCTCTACATGCTAATAAATTTTCACTGTGTCTGATACCCGTCATTCGGTTCCGTAAAGGGGTAAATGTTCGGATTCATAGCCCATTGAATACCCGGTTCCCCCAGCGGAAGGAGTATACGCACTTGATCGAGTTGTTTTTCTATTGATTTAGTCCCATAAATAATAGTAGGGATGACGGTAGAGCTATAGTAAAAGAAATCGCGGGAAGCAAAGGATAAATAGCTACATGGGTCGCATAGAAGCTTTAAGAGATAGAGGGCCATTCCATCGAAGATGGTAGCGGGAAAGACAAGAGCATGAACGAGCTAACTTATGCTTTTTTTTTTCATCGTCACTATCTGCTTTATAGTCGGCTCCAGAGAATTCTCTGACAAAATTCAAACGAGCTTGAACTGAGCATGAACTAGACCTATATTGATAATTAGATTTTACCAAAAAAAAAGTTTTGCAGAAGGACAATATATCGAGCTTTAAATACCAATGACAAAATTGCAAGCAAAATTTTGTGCTTTGAACATCAACCAAGTAACACAACAACCCTAGATTCTCGAATATCTCTAGATCAGCCACACACCTTTGTGATGACATTAGAATATCTACTTCATCTTGGTCATCCAAATCCTGTTATTTTTTCTTTTTTGTAGTTATGATATCTATCTCTGCTCTTTCTCTTAATTATAGAACTTTTATATAACCTCCTTGTTTTGCATGTATCTTACATACATTTTTTTTTTTTGTAATAAAAGAATCTCTAGTGGTATGTCTAAAGAAGTACAATTATCGATAGGATTAGAAGGAAGAGTTATAGTTATGATATTAATAATGATTGTAATTGAAAAATTGGTGTGTTGATTATCCAACTCTACAATGTCTTGTTGAGAGGAGAAATAAGTGAACAGCAAGACCCCACCATGTCTTCCCATATGAAGAAAATATAAACCAATTATACAAATAATCATCATCCACTTTCGGCACCAAATACAGTGACAATCCAAGCCCAATTTCGCATTTGTTAATTAAATCCTCTAAAAAAAATTAAAAAGAAAAAAGTTTTGTAGTTGACATTGCTGCATAATAACCCTACAAGTTGTCTAAAATTTGTGGTTGACAGAGTTTCATTTGCATTAATTAATTTTTTTGCTTTCATGTATTAATTATTAATTATTATATCCAACACACCCACCAAAACCAATGTGCTTGTCTCTCTCTCTTTTTTTAAAGAAAAATGTGCTTGTTCTTGCATGTATAATAATAATTCATTATTATTATAACTATAATTTATCACCAAACCAAAAAGTTAACAGCGTGGCTCTCCTTGCTTCTGAGGTGCCTCTCCACCGCCCAATTCATAAACAATAACACATCCCAATCACTCAATTTCTAAGCCAAAAATTGAATATCGACTTCATTCAATCAGTTTAAACTAAACTATACTTGAAGATTGATTTGATTTAGATTAGTTTTATTAGTCAGTTCTTTGTTGGTTTTGTTAGGTAATAAAAAACCACGTGACACTTGTATCAATATCCATAGATTCCATCTCAAAATCAATTTACAACGAGAGTAATAGTCCATAAGTGGGACCCACCAATCTACTTCAATAAATATAGAGACATAGTCCATAAACATATATGTAATTCTGATTCCTCGTATATTCATAGTTATAGGTCGAACTAATACTGACTTGTGCATCGGAGTGTGTCTAAGCTTTTCGTGCAAGTCTTCCACACGTATCCCTTGCTCTCTAATAGGTCTCTTCCTTCTTATATCTCGCTTTCTAATAGATCGACTCGTCCAATTATAAGGACAAAATTATACACGGACAATTTTGATTAATTCTTGTCGACGGTTGATTTAAGCTTAAGAAGCCAATTTCAAGCAACCCATGTGCAATACTGCTACCACTCACCCTCAATATTCCAGAATACTCGTTATTGAAAATTAGGATTGGAAAATAGGCTTTTGTTTTTAAAAATAAAAATATACATAGAAAGCTAGCTGATTTGAAAGAATAATTTCAAAAAACGATTTACACACAAAAAGGAAAAATAGCAAAAAGTTAGAAACATTATTTGGTTGTTTCCATTAATGTTTTCTCAACTAAATTGTTTCTTTTTTATTTATTTATTTATTTATTTTTGGAATTCTCAAATAAATTGTTGGCCTATAATTATTAATCTATTTTGAAGTCTATAAAAAATGAAAGTTGTGTGCACACTAATAATAGTGGGGGACTATTTTACTAATGGCATAGATATATATAGTTAAACAAACTAAGCTTTACATATAATGGGTATTAAAGTGATCAAGGATTAATTAGTTAATTAGAATCTATTGCTAATTGTAGGGTTAAGTCAATTGTTATATTGAATGTTTATAACAAGTGAATTATATAGTACTTTTGGATATAGGCGGGTTTAGTTGAATCACTTAGGACAGTTTGATACCGCCAAAGCCACTTTTGTCATTTTCTAAAATCACTTGTATTTTATTGTCAAACAATAGCACATGTTTAGTGACCAACATCGTTTTTGTCATTGTCAAAATCATTTTTGTTTGAGAATGATATACAGGTAGTTTTAAAAAATAGCAAGAATCATTTTATGCCTTAATTATTGGTGTGCTCGTTCTCGCTTTCATTCTTTCCACTTTGTTATTTTATTTTTCTCTTTGTTCGAGTTCGTTAGGCATCTTGTTGAACTAATTAAAGAACTAGTATAAAATAATACATGTCAATTTGGTCAAGTTAAAGTGAATGACAACTTTACCGTCATGGGTCAAATGGGTCAAGGTAAATCAAAAGGATTTAGAGAGAATGAATTCAAATTCCATGATGACCACCCGTCTAGAAATTGATTTCCTATGTATTTTCTTGATAATCAAATATAGTATAATCAAACTGTTAGTCATGTGAAATTAATCGATGTGAGCTGGCCCAAACACTTACATTTACAACTATATATATAGAGATATATAAAGTGAATGACAAGTTTACTATAAGTTTAACAATAGCTTTAATATCTATTTCATCTACAACTTGCAACATAACTTAAGTAAGAGAATAAAATACTAAATAACTAATTGTGCACTTCAAATACAATTAATATATTATAACATGTATAGTCAAAATCAATGTCAAATCATCTCTTGCATAGTTAATATCTTAACACAATCATAACTCAATAATTAAGAGATCTACTTCTTCATTTCAAGTTATATATATAGTCTTGCAAACACATATTGTATATACTCAATTCATAAACCCTGCATCTCATAGTCCTCATATGAATCAAATTGTTGTATGAGATATAGAACCATAAGGTAATTTATAATGGAAGAGGTTGGTCATGGCCAACACTCATACCATCATAAAATTCAAATTGAGAATCTTTAGATCGATGGCTCGATCCTACTAATGGATGATATGAAATGATGTCTTGTTGATGACTCGATAAGAACGGGGCATTAGCACTTGACTGCAACAATCAATCTCTTCCAACCTCGATATATTCTTCAATTAATGAGCTGTTCGAGTGACTTTGACTTAGGTCTTTCATCAAACATATCTTTCAACTCTTAATCAAGCCAATTGTCCACAATCTCTTCTTGAGTAGTTTTTTTGTTGTTGACATTTGATTGTGCACATTTTGAAATTGTGTCCGTTTGAAGGATGAGAGAGGTGGTGTTTAGAGCTCTAATGTCAAGAGGGTGAATGGGAATTAATCATGTTTTTGCTAACGGTACTAACTATAAGTATTGAAATCTCTAGTATCGAACATGTGCAAAAACCTATAACTACAAATAATGTACGAGAAGTTCAAAAATGACGGGCAAGAAAAAAGAAAATCTTAGTTTTCAAAAATCACAAAGAAGAAAGTAATCTTATTTTAAGAGAGTTATGAAAACCTCGGCCTATAAGGGTGAGAGTTTAACTACTCTTTGACTTCTCTAAAGAGCATGACTTACTCTTACGAGAGAGATTAGGTAAATTGAGATTCATAAAAATGGTTCAAATAAGAACTATGTCATCACTAAAAAGAGTAAGAGTAGACGGGTTAAAATTACTCAAAATTACTCGTCGTGCAATTTTCATTTCTTATTTGTTATTTATATTTTTTTTTGACAAACAATAGCATTTAACAACAATTAAAATATCTTGCTTGGTTGAAATCCCACCAAACATTTGTTGCACAAGATAAAATATTCTATTGTTCGTTTCACATCCTTTACAAATTTCGATCTTTGCTTCCCTCCCCCCAATTTTCTACAACTTCAAAGAAGATGCTACTTGTTTTGATTTCAACTCATAATGAATACAGAGTATAAGAAAATAAATGACATGAATTTTATTTGGTTTTTTAACATTAGTTTTCAAGTGAATTCTCCAATTTTAAAAGATTGAACAAAAAAGTAAGAATGGTTCAAATTCCATTTTTGTTACTTCTTCAAGTATAAAAGAAAAAAAAGGAAATAGAAATAGATAACCAAAAACAAAAAACTCAATACAGAAATGTGAAAATACAATTCCTAAAGTTTAACATTAAATTCGATGCCATCGTACTAACAATAATAATTATTAGTGGCTATAAATTCATTTTTCATAATAACTGACCACAATATGTAAAATAACTTTCATCAACCTCCTTCAACCCTCCAAAATGAACTTTTTTCCGCAAAAATTTCTATCTATTGATTGTAATTAATTAAACTACTTTTTAAGCTCATTCATTTTTCCTTAGTTTGCAGTCTGCTTGGCCTATTTTCTCAGAGCTTCTCTTTGCTCTCAAAGTCTGAGTTTTCATATCTTGTCTCAGGGAGAGACCCTATTGATTGCTAAAGAAACTCTCTTAATATAACTTTCATGATGGCTGCCACAAACTTGTGTAATGTCTCCACATTATGCACAGTATTCACCAATTGCTAGCACTTCACAGCTTCACCAATGAAGAACACAGACGTTCAAGAGGGCTGCCTCGTCATCTGCTCTTTTTTATCGGTACTATGGTCGTCATCACTTTTAACACATAAAAGTGAACTGAACCATATGGAACCTATTTAAGAAATCATAGAGCTGAGTGATCTACCAAAAGTGTAGCCCTATACCAGTTACATCATTTCCACACTTTTTATATATTCACCCAGAAAGTGGGTATAGGGAGAGAGACAGAGTTATCTTAATGCAATTATCTCAAAATATGCACTTAAGAATCACAGGTCCTTACCGCCACGGTTTGAAATGATCAAATTCTTGCTTCGTTCACAGGCTCGTACATTTGGAGATCTACGCACGACGCGAGTGGTATTGTGTAAAACTTGCCCTGTCAGTAAAAAGGATAAATGTAATGCACAATGGTCAATGCTGCGGATGTTAAATTTAAACAAGCTTCTTGAACGGAACTCGAAACTTACTCAAGAGGCTAAAATATCACTAATATTCAAGGATGTTTACTTCTTTTCTAAAGGCCCTTTTTTTTAATATCCGTGAGTGTCCGGTAGGAATTACTAATTCCTAAGATAGGTGACCGTTGTGGAGTTTGAACTCATTCCCTCTTAATTTATCTTAGTCCCTTTAGACCATTTAAACCAATAAGCCCCTTTTGACCAAAGACCTTAAAGTAAATAATGATTAAAAAGGGTGATAAATTTTTTTTTTTAGAACCAAAAAGGTGGTGGTTTCAATACTTTATAATAAGCCCAATTGTAATAAGACCACGAACGCTATTTGTCTGCATATTAAATTTCAATGGTGCCAATGTACATGAACAAAATTAAATGACATTAACCGGTGAGTAACACGTGAAAAAGAGAAGATACCTACCTTTAGCACAAAATTTTTCACTGCGAAGGGGGAGGATGTCCATAGTACACCATCCCAGGTGGCTGCAGCGGTCGGAAACTAGGTGCTAAAGGTTGCTGCGTAAACGGAACCGGTAGCGTGTGTATCATAGGTGACGGCTGTTGAGCTAAGGGTATTGGCTGCTGCAGCATCTGCTGAGTCAAGGGCACCACCGGACTAACCATATGGGGCATAGGTGGTGGCGGTGCCGGAGTTGAGCTCGGAAGACTACCATAACCATATGGGTTTAAGACTCCATTTGAGAGCTGCAAATATTGCTGGGAAGGTGCATTGGGAAGCATCTGATATTGAGTTTGTGAGTTGGGGGCGTGGCTCTGCATTGTGGGTTGGGGTACAATTACCGATTGATACGAATGATTAGCGGGAGCCGGAAGTGGCTGCATAGACATGAAAACATTAGGGTCCGAACCCACAGACGTTTTGGGTTTTGTATTAGAATTGGCAGAGGTACTCGTAGGCTTTGGTGTGAATGCAGTATTCAATCCATTATTGGTCTTTGTTAGACCAGTATTCTTTGCCTCCTCAGCCGCAAATGTCGAGAGAACCGATGTCATGATCATCTGGGAGGAGCTAGAAGCTGCGAGCTTGTCAGCAACCTCTGCTGCTATGGCTGCAGCAGACTTCTTCTGTCCTGCTTTAGCATTTGAATCAATGGTCATAGTGGAAGATTTTGATAGATATCCTTCATCATTTAGTCGGTTTTGCATATTCTTCGCCTCCTCTGCCTGCGCCTGAGCTACCTGTATTTTTGAAGTTGGAAATGAAATAAGAATAATGGTACCAAAAAATTTAATTGTCTGCACCCATCAGATTCATATATAAACTATAGGCATCCACGGTAAAGCTTCATTTTTTCTACATGAAAGAAGCCACTAACTAACATAATACAGAACCAAAAATATTCATGTTGGAGTTCTATCAAACGTGAAGTACATGCCCAAGCACAAAATAAGTTCACTCAAGAAAATACCTGCATCTGAGTTCGAATGTTCTCCAGCTCTGATTCCTACAATTGGTTTATACAGTTTCCCAAATATGTCAATAGTTCATAATATAATCAAACTTCAAAGGACATTGAAAAATGGTTGATCAGGTAGGCACCTGAACATGCAGAGCTTCTTTTAACTGAGACATAAGTGCCATCCGACTGGCTTCAACCGATTGTAGTTTCTCAATACACTGCTTCAGAATACTTTCTTCCTCTTCCAGTTCTTTGGCCAACTTTTTACGCTGGGGATTCTTTGCTGGTGGACAGTGATAGAAACTCAGATACCATATAATTTGGAAATCGCAACATGGGATACTAAAAAAATTTCAACTAAAAGGACAAATTTGAATTCCTTTCAAAACAAATTAGATGTGTGGCAAGTAGCAGGGAAAAATAAGGTAGACAAGACAGACATTTAACATTAAATCAGTGTTGCCATACCCATGGAACAGGCGAAATCAACGTCATTTTCCATCTTCCTTACACGTTGAACCGCAGAAGTACATTTGGTCATCTCCGTTTCTTCATTAGAATATTCACTTAGCACCAAGTGGAATGCTGATACAATTTTTTCAGCTGCACTTCCAATAGACAATTTCTGCATCTCAAAGTAATGATATAATGTCAACTCAAATGCTAGGCTTCGGAAGGTAAAAAGAAAATTAAAGGGGAGCAGCCATGGAGAATCACCAAGAGTATAACATAATCTCTAGAAGCTGAAGAAAAAGATGTCACTCACCGTTCTAATTGACCGCGAATCCCTTTTGACAATTCTGACTGATCGAGTACGTTTTTTACTAAACTCTAGAGGTGGAGGTGCCTCTTCCCCAAGTATTACATCTTTAAGACTTCGAGTGCGGGATCCAAATACCTTCCTTTGTTCCCATATATCTACCTAAGAATGTGCAAGCACAATTATTCATATTCAAGGAAGGAGGCAACACATAAAATGAGATACAGGAAGTTTTTTTTTAGAAATTTGCAATTTCTTTTCCCTTTTAGTAGACATAACTGACAATGTCAGACACCCAACAAAAAGGAGTTGCTCTCCTGATGAAGCGCAACAATTGCATCTTTAAGTTCTATCACCAAAAAAATTCACAAGAAACTTTTATAACATGCATGAAGGTCAAGACCACTCATCCAAGAAGGGGAAAGAAAAGAACCTACCAATCTGGAAATTACATTCTTTCCATGGCTGTCACCATTCTCAAGGACATCTTTAAGCGCAGCAGGAAGAACCTTCCAGAACTCGGTAACAAATTCATTTCCCTTACGCTTGCTGTTCTGTAATATGTCATTAGCAAGATATAAAAGGGGAACTTTCTGGACCATCTCGGAATTGTGGAACTGTTTATCCCATGTTGCAACAACCAGTTCAGCTTTGCCTCTATGAAATATACACCAATGCGATAGAGCTATAGGAAAATGGTTAAGGTAGCAGAAATACCTTTTGCACAAGATAAGCTAATCCCAAAGGGAACAGGATGAAGAAACACTTCATAAGGTAGATATTTGTAATATGGTAGCAAAATTCCATAAGATCCATATCCAACCCTTGAAGGGTAGAAGATAATCTCAACAGAATTGAGAAAACGATGCCACCGGAAAAAAAAAAAAAAAAAGGTAGATAGAACACTGAAGAAGAGTGCCAGTAGAAAAACTAGGCCCAAATAAAACAAAATAAGCAGCAAAAAACCAATTCCAAGATACGAACTTCAAAGTCCACCAAATTGATAGAAATTAGAATTGACTACCCAAAGCTACGGAAATTAAGGACCAGAAAAAAAATGCAAACCTAAAAGGCGCGAATTCATCAAACCCACGTCACATCCAACCTAGAAGTTCAAGAAGAAATTAAAATAAAAAATAAAAAGGATACTTTCGATACACTGCTGCGTGCTATTGAGCTTCGACAGCTTATCCCCAAGTATTTGCTCACTGAACACACTATTCATTCCAGTACCGCAGCAGCAACCACACCGACTAACCCAATAACAAAATGAACAGTAGAAATCCCTAGAGGCGCTGAGATCCCGAAACTCCAATCGACTTAATTGACCTTCTGGTGCCCAAAGTCGGGCGAAGAAACCCCAATTGGACCGAGGGAAGCTGGAAGCGCAAGAAATCAAAGGAGAAGACGCTACAAAAGCGAGAGCGTGGAGGAAATGCAGAGAATGAAGAAATGGAAGGGCTTGAATTAGTGGGAAATGCAAAATTAGGTATTGGGTATATTGAAACGGAGAAATGGAAGCCGTAGAGGGGGAGTTTGGGGAGGAGGAATCAGCTGGAGAAGATGAAAAATGAAGGAAACAGAGGGAACTTGCAGAGGAAGAGGGGTTTTAGTATTATCGGACGAAATTTGGCGCAAAGAAATGAAAAAAATGAAGAGGGAGAGTTCGGTCTTAATCTTACACCCATCTGCCCATATAAGGCGCTTCGCCATTTTTTTTCTTTCTTTCTTTTCTTTTTTTTTTCCTAAAAAATGAGAGATCCAACCTCCACCTTCGAGCGAATAAATTAGGTTTTTTAATTAAGCTGATATTTGTAATATAAGAGTTTCGACCTATAAAGTATTTCGCTTCCCAACATATTTCCATTTTCTTATTAATAAGAAATATTAAAAATCACTTTCTTGTCTTTTTCAATCATTTTAAATTAATCAAATATTTAAAAACTAAAAAGTGTCTGTTTGGATTGATAGTTTATATTCCATTTTGATTTCCAAACATTTTTATTCTATTTTGTAACTTTTAAAATATATGTATTAATGTTTAAGTATATGAGATATTGAAGGAAGGACATATTAGGTAGGGTAAGTATTAGATTTCAAATAAATTATTAATACTTAGAAAAAGAAGAAGGCTTTGTTAGAAAAATGGGATTAAAATTCCATATTACCTAGACAAGGAAAAAACTATAAATAATCATTTCCATTGTTAAAAGAGATTTTTGAGTGAAACTAAAAGTAAAATCACGAAAATTTATGCTCAACATATACAATATTATACAATGGTATTGGATGTGCTAGCGCAATAAGTCAAGAAAGACTAGGCATACTCAATCCAATTTAAATTTTAATATTCACTCCATTTAACACTTACCTAAATTAGAATTAGATCGTTTTAGTACATACCTACATTAACACGTCAACAAACATTATTCGAAACCATACCATTTATCTTTTAAACAGTGGACAACAAAATAATAACAAAAGCAAAATGTTATTATTTTTTGAATTTACATATCAAAGTGATTTTTTGGCTAATGAAAAATAGTGCCTTTTTTTAACATAAAAGCACCACTTTATTTGCTTAAGAAATTAGCAAATGACAATTTACAAATATTGACAAATGGTTCCCCGGAGGAAAAGCATTCCCAAAACTTTACCAATCTAAAATTCACAGGTCATTTCAAGCCAAGTTGTTTGCATGAAAGTGAATTCAAACTGTAGAACGATCACAAAAATTCTATCCAAATATAACTCGACGATAATTGACATATATCTCCAATCTTTGGAGATTGTGAGTTCGATCAACCACCATGTTAGCACAAAAAAAATCACAAAAATTCTAAAAATTACAACACAGCATTTTAAAATGATATATAAAATACAACCATTTGAACACCATAAATGAGTTTTTACATCAGATTCAAATACTAAAAACATAACATTTGAGCAGCTAAAATAAAAATAAGAACACCCCCAACTGTGGGGGAAATAACAAACAAATGGAAAAGATGTCCATTTATAAGAGTCAAAAGCACAGTAGCTGAGATCAGATGGAAGAGGTTAGCGTCATGAAATTTGAGGAAAGCCTCCACAAGATACTACAAATCTAACTCATCGTATGTTTTTTGTTCCGAATGAAAAGAAACATGATTACATAACCAAATACAAAGTAATCCATTTCAAGAAGTGAATCTTAAGGATATCCTAATTAATGTGCAACAAAACCTACCATCAGATTCTATTTAAAAACCCACCATTTTCAGCTACAACATATCCTCCCTGCAAGCACTAAAGACACTCAAACATGCCCTCTCTATGCTTTTTTTTTTTACCTTTGCATAATCTAAACTTGCTAAGGAATCCACAGGGCGACAGCAGCATGAATACAACACATCTCGAACTACTACTTTGTGTGGTCTTTTCCCCTTGCTGCTGAAAGTTTTACCTGCACCTGTTCATCAGATAAAGGTAAATAGTAGATGCGAGGAGTTGCTTTGGTTTTCCTGAAGAGGTCGTCTAGGGTGACAATGGGAGTATCGACTTTATCAGGAAGTGCAGGCGGGGGTGGAAGTGGAAGCTGCTCCCTTGTTTGAGCAAGGTTGTTTGTGGGTGGGGGTGGGGGAAGAGAAGGTGGTGGAGCAAGTTGCTGCCTTGTTTGACGGGGTGAAGGCTCAGGATGCAAGGGTGGGGGCACGGTAGAGACCGGTGGAGCAACTGCTGCAGGTGTAGGTGTCTGTGGAGCTTCCACTCGAATCTTTACTTCTTGAGGATCAACAAACTCAGCCATGAGAAGGCGCCCACCATTTGGTGGCCATTGCAGGTTGTAAACAGCATCTCTAGTTTTCATTGCTTCTTCAACGGATGAGTACTGCATCGTGACAGTAGTTTCCAAGCAATCATTAAACATGTTGGTGCCGAATAATCAAATTCCAAAAATATGCAGCTTTTATAATAAGCAGTAAGAATAAGACCCCGACAACTAGAAGAGCAAAGTCTTACAGTTACATAGCAATGCGTCTTGATGTGATCCATCCAGAAACTGGTGACGTTACCAGTCTTGCCCAAAAGTTCTTGCACAGCTTTGAGGGTAAATGGACGTAGAAATCGATCAATTCTTAGTGAATTTGTGGGAGGTTTTGGTGATGGTGGAACTGCAAAAGACAAAAGTAGAAACGAGGGAATCAGATGTTGGCCAGAACTTATAATATCATCACATCTTCAAAAAATTTAACTCACCAACACGTTCCTTCGATGGATCTTCACTAACTGTGGAGTCAGATCTGGAGAAGTTGCGTTTCAGAGCAGTGGATTGATGAGGGTCCTTTGAGTTACTAGTGGATGTGTGAGAAGCATTTTGTGGCTCTGGAATTTTTAGGTTTTCAGCATTCCACCTGCGCTGTCTCTTTACGGACTCGTTATTTCCAACCACTGCTGGATCTGCATGACAATCTTATCAGACAAAACAAAACCAAGACAATTGATCTAAATTTGAAGAAAATCCAATGCAATATAAACTCAGTCAATTGGATCGATGAACAAAAATTTCATAGCTACAATCAAACGCACATCAAGTATTGACCAATATAGGACAGAGCCCCATCCCCCTTCAGAACTTTTAAAGAAAAAAAAAAGGGTTCTGTCGAGCAAGATGCAAATATTTGCAACAAGACAATCAAAGAGGTGACTTGCAATACAAAAGTTACTTATAAATTTATTATAGCTCATTGATTACAACAATTACTGGAAACCATTTTCTTCACCCCCAGCATTGGAAACAACCTCAGATAAGACGAGTTAAATCATGATTTTGATGACTGATGGTACAGACAGAGAAATGATAGTTGACTTGGAAGATTAGGGAGATTCAAATACCCATAAAAGTTCCTTCTGTTTGTGTCGTCTCCCGAGAATCAAGTTTGCAGGCTACAAGTAAGAAAGACAACG